TGAGTTTCATGTGTATCTTAGATAATACAGATGATACTTTGGAATATGGAAGTGGTGCTCGAATGGGATGAACCTTTGGTATCTGTTAAGATGAAATGAATTTTTTTTTTTTTTTTTTTTTTCCCATGGAACCGGGGATTGAACTCTGGCCCTTGCACTTGCCAGGGAAGCGCTTATCTGAGCCATCTCCCCGACCCTAATGAATGCATTTTTGCATTAGACTCAGACATGAAATTTTGACCCGAGTGGGAAATGCTGCAGACTGACTTGTGTTCCCCTAATTCATACATTGCAGCTCTAAACTCCAATACAATAGTCATTCAAGGGCAGGTCCTTTACAAGATTATTAGGGGGAAAGAAGGTGGTAAGGATGGGACCATAAAGCTGTTCAGGTTATGCCTTGTAAGAAGAGTCGTGAGAGCTCTCCCTCACTCCTTCATCGAGGGGAGGCCAGGTGTGCACTGGGCGAGACCAGCTACCTAGGTGCCAGGAATAGAGGCCCACGGAAAATGAACCCTGCTGCACCTTACTGGTAGATGGCCACACTCCAGAAGCTGTGAGAACAGTAGATTTACGTTGTTTAATCTAGCCAATGTGCATCCATTTTTATAGCCATCTGAATAGACTGCAGTCAGTGGAGAAGTATTTGGTGAAGGTGAGCGCCACCTGGCAGCTGATACCCTGTAGATCGTGGAGCTTAGTATGCTGGCATCTTCTAGAAAGAACAACTCTAAGCACACCTCTCGGGTTCTGAGGCCTAAGAGACGCAGGTTTTCTCACCGTGTCCAAACCACAACAAAATAAATAACTATAATGAAGTTCAGTGAAGGTCTGACTTAACAAAAAAGTGACTACACTAATTCACTGGCTGCAGATATCTTTTATTTTGAAATCTACATGCTGATAGGTTTTGACAGTGTCGCAGCAGAGAAACAGGCAGAAGGAAAAAGGAAAAGGGGTTTTATTCTAAAGGGAAAGGGGCTTCATTATCTTGGAGGGCACGGAGAGAATTTGGGAAGATAAGGAATTCTCTGGATTGGAACAAAGGGAGGCTGAGGCTTTTATGGCATTTTTTCAGGTCTGGGGTTTGGGGGTTGGGGAAGATATTCAGATATACCCGAGAAGCTGATTGGGGCCTTCCTTGAAGAAGGAAAGGTGAAAGGAAACTGCATCCTGGGCTGAGTTGGAGAAGGGGGGAGGTGGTCTCTGGGAAGATAAACTGTTGTTTTAAAGGCTTCAGCCATATTGGATGACCACTATAAGAATTCAGCAATTCATACTAGGGCCATAACCTGTCACATGCCATATTCCAATTATATTTATTTAAAAAACTAGATTTCTCTTGGTTAAGAACAGCTTCTTAGGTATAAATAGAGGCAATTCCTGACCGTTAGTAGGTTTCCTCATGGAGATCATCTTTTTCTAAAATTTTTATATATTTAGTACAGGGTCTACAGGGTCTCACTGCACAGATCAGACTCGTAGTGATTCTCCTGTTTTCAGCTTCCCACATGCTGGGATCACAGGTGTGTATCACCACACCCAGTCTCAGCTGCCACCTCAGGGTGCCCTGGGGCAGGCCTGTATGGCACCCCTGGGATCAGACCCTAGTCCCAGTGTTTGCCTACGCAGGTGCTTTAGTCTGCGGAGCTGTCTTGCCAGCCCATGCTTATATTTTTTGTTTTGGTACAATATTTAAGGTATTGGGAGAAACTAGAGAGGAGAGAATTCGGTGGCTGTCTCTGAACCCTTAGTTTTAGTTTCCTCAATTGTATTCCTAATAATTTTCTAAGATATGGCATTATACTTAGTAGGAATATGTACTTTTATAATTACAATTTAGGACATACACATGACAAACCTTTAGAAGTCATCCTAAATCCAACCTAAAAAAATGTAATTTATTTTATTTTACAATTGGTTATAGAACTTCATACCTGTTTTAAAAAAAAAAAGATTCCAATGATAAAGAAAAACAAAATGAAGAATAATGACAAAGTAATAGAGAATCTATTGTACATATATTATTTCAATATTTAAAAAGAGATTAGAATTGGGGGTATTGTGTTACACTGAACTACTTTGTTTAGGATACAGCAACTTGTATACTCAGGTATGATTGTATACAGACTTCAAGCTCAGGAAAATCTGAGATGAACATATGTCCCCCGTGCTAGGTATTTTCAGTAACTGGGAGGCCTGGGTGTAGCATTCTCATGAACTTGGCAAGGTTATTTTTTCCAGGACCCTTGAGGGAAGCTGGGTGGAGGCTAGCTCAAGGGCTGGAATTCAGCTGAAGCTATGCAGAATTTGTTGTCCACCAGAGAATTTCCCTGTGAAGGAGGCTGGGCTTTTAGATAGACAAAGTGACATTCTAAACTACAAAGTGAAGAAGTATGCTGGAAATGAGGAGTTAGGGCAGAGCTTGAGGGATGCTCTCTTGCTTAGGGGAAGGATCTTAGATGCCCTCTTAGGGAGGGGTGATTAGCTGGCACTTTCCATTTCTCTGAAGTTCCCCCAAAAGACACTTTTTTTTTTTTTTTTTTTCCGGGGATTGAACTCAAGCCCTTGTGCTTGCCAGGGAAGCGCTTATTCCACTGAGCCATCTCCCTGGCCCCATAGAAAACACTTTCTACTGGGAAATAAAGGTGCTTTGGGCAACTTAAGTCTGGTATATATTTAACGTCTAGATGGTGAGAAACTGTCTCAGTAGGACAAAGTGCTTCCTGGTTGCCCAATAACTGATTTACTGAGCTCCACATTTTACTCAGTGTCCCTATATTGAGTAAGGTCTATTTTGTGGGACAATCTAGGCTGATGACAGTTAAACAAAATGAAGTCGTTTCCCTTATGGGTGTTTTGCTGAATATGAAAGCACTGAGGTTAACTAAGTACCATTCTTACTAATTATTACTTAATAATCAGATGCAAAGTCTTGCTATTGGAGTTCAGAGAATTTAAACCTAGTCTTTCCAATCTCCTTTCCTTACTTACCATAATAGATATGTTTATCAGTCCTGTAGCAGTTAAAAACTGTCACCAAACCAAGTCTCTTTGTTTCATTTAACCACACTAAATCAAAGAGAGTAGCTTTTTGTCTAGCTTCACTGTGCCATCGCATTGTAAAGATGCGTCTTCACGTTGATTCTCCGGAAAATCATTTTTCCTCCTTACTTCAAGTTCTCCAGGGCTGAGAATATAGCTCAGTGGTAAAGTGCCTTCCTGCCTGGCAAGGGTGGGGTCCTGAGTTTCATTCCCAGTACCAAAAGAAAGCAATAATAAGTTCTCCAGAGTTTAGGATGGCATCAGGAACATTCTGGACTGTGGGTAAAGTTCCACTACATACAGTGTTTAGTTATTTATTTATTTTTCCATTGTTTTCTAAGTATGTAAAAGAGAGATGGCTATGGAAGAATCACCACTAGCTTTCGATTTATTACCTCAGGATTTAATCTTTTAACCTGTTTCTCAGTTTTTTCTCCATTAAATCTTTCACAGTGATAGAACCCACTTTTAAAATTGGGCCAGCCAAATAGCTCAGTAGATTAAAGTGCCTGCAAGCAGAAGCAGGAGCTTGCCTTGTCAGCCCCATCCCG